AGCCACATACACCTAAGGTGGCGGGTTCGAATCCAGCCTGGGCCCGCCAAACAACAATGACGGCTGCAACCAAAAAATAGCCGGGCGTTGTGGCAGACGCCTGTGGTCCCAACTACTTGGGAGGCTGAGGCAGGAGACTCACTTGAGCCCAGGAGTTGGAGGTTGCTGTGAGCTGTGGTGCCACAGCACTCTACCCAGGGTGACAGCTTGAGGTTCTGTCTCAAAAAAAAAAAAGTTTGGTAATTTCATGTCTTTTTTTTTTTTTTTATTTAAATCAGATCCTGACTCAACCAAGAGGCTGTTCTCTACCTGGTACGGAACTTTCCAGCTCAAAACCTTCTCGGACGTGCCTACCAACCTCATGGGCCCCAGATGGCACCCTTTTCAGCGTTCGCCCAAGATCTTGCTCCCCGGAGACCTGCGTTTTCAGTGACACAGCCTCCCCCACGCTGTCACTTTCTGCCACTGGTGCCTTTTCAAAATCAGTGTCTTCAAAGATGGAAAATGTTAAGCTTGTGTCCTCCCTTGGAAGGAGTGAGGCTAGGTCTCAGAATGAGTCCATTTCAGAAGGTGGTGATGACAGCCTGAACGGTAATCTATATTCTAGTCCAGACATGAAGGCCAAGGCCACCTTTAGGGTCCTTCGCTTGGTAGCAGCCAGAAATTTCCATAGGCAGTAAGAATTAAACCCTCAACTTTCCATCTTTAAAATCTTTTTCCAGAGTCTTAGTTTAGGCTGCTTTAACAGAGTCCTAGGGAGAGGGTGGCTGGAACATCAGAAATTTATTTCTCACAGTTCTGGAGGATGAAAGTCCAAGATCTGGGTGCCAGCAGCGTAGGGCACTTGGTGAGGACTTTCTTATTGATTTACAGACAACTACGTTTTCTCCGTGTCCTCACAGGGTGAAGAGAGTGAGCACTATCTCCTCATTCTCTTATAAAGGGATCAATCCCATCTAAGGGTGTCCTTATCCAAGCCCAGTTATGAGATTTGGTGGGGACACAACACTTGGTCCATACCATCCAGTAACCTTGACCAATTATGGAGCAATAAAAGAAATTTTTCTAGAGCCACATACAACCAAAAGGCAGCCTAATTTTCTTTTTTTGTGAAGGAGAGAATTGCCTCCTTTTTTCAGAAAAGAAAACAAATCTCCAACCCATCAAAAGTAAACATTTCTATTATTTTGATGTTATTTTATTTTTTTTTAGAGACAGTCTCACTCTATCTCCAACTCCTCAGCTTAAGCGATTCTCTTGCCTCAGCCTCCCGAGTAGCTGGGACTACAGGTGCCCGCCACAACGTCCAGCTATTTTTTTGTTGCAGTTTGGCCGGGGCCTGGTTTGAACCCACCACCCTCGGTATATGGGGCTGGCGCACTACTCACAGAGCCTCAGGTGCCTCCCTGTTTTGATGTTATTTTTATCTTAATATTATATTTAGTTACAAGAAAAAGGGGAGAGGCTCGGCGCTTGTGGCTCAAGTGGCCAAGGCACCAGCCACATACACCTGAGCTGGTGGGTTCAAATCCAGACTGGGCCTGCCAAACAACAATGATGGCTGCAACCAAAAAATAGCCAGGCGTTGTGGTGGGTGCCTGTAGTCCCAGCTACTTAGGAGGCGGAGGCAGGAGACTTGCTTGAGCCCAGGAGTTGGAGGTTACTGTGAGCTGTGATGCCACGGCACTCTACCCAGGGCAACAGCTTGAGGCTCTGTCTCAAAAAAAAAAAAAAAAAAAGAAAAGAAAAAGAAAAAGGGGAGAAAGAAAAGGGGTTTGAAACAGGTTTTTTTTCCTTCTCTTAGATGCTTTAGCACCGAATCAAAGTGAAATAGTTGTTTCCTGAGTGCCTGCTATGTGGTCATAGGTGCCAGGTGGCATATTGTCAGGAATAGGACCAACAAGTAGACATGCTCCCTGCCCACCAGGCTCCAGGATGGCCCTAACCTGGGAGTCACTCAAAAAGTGATGTGTGTGTCCCTAGAAGGTCTACCAGGATGGGAGGGTGAAGTATGGCCACCACATGGCATGGCCTAGGCTGTGGCTATGACAGAGCCCCTTGGAGCCCCTTCAGTGCTTGCCTTCTGCCAGATGCTATCTGGGGCTCTGCTTCTGGGTTAGTGAACAGCATGTTGTATATATGAGGAAACAGGCCTGAGAGGCTAGTGCGGGGTGGGGAGCTGTTCTCCCACATCACCTCCTTCCATATGTGGGTGAGAAAGCAGAATCCACGACCAGCATCAGGATGTCCTGGCTCTCCCTTTTATTAGCTGTACAGTCTTGGGCTCTCAGTGCCTTAGTCTCCACCTCTGTGAAATAGGGATAATAGTAGAAGGAGCCTTCCAGGGCTATTCTGTGGGGTCAGAGGGGGAGGCATTCCCCAGCACGAACACACACGTGTGCACACACAGCTCCTGCACTTTGCGGGCTGAACTGAATCAGGTAAAGAGAGTTCCTGGTAGGAGTTACTACAAACATAATCACTGCTTCTTGGCTACTCACTTGTTGAGTCAGCTTAAACCTGTTGGAGCACCAGGCTCTGAAGAGGACTACATACTCCTGAGTCTCAGCACACACTTAAGCTCAGATTGGCTAATCAGCCAAAATGGTGGTTAAGTTTCTGCTGTGCCTTTAACTTGTAAACAAGAACTTAGGCTGCTTTGGAGCCACATCTCATGTCCCATAGCTAGCAGGGTGCCCCTCCAACTCCTCACACCACATGTGTACTTGTCACCAACTTCCTTGTATTGTAATCGTCAGCTTTTCTGTCTAGACCAGCCCTGTTGTCTGTTTTATAAACAAGGTTTTATGAACTTCCTTTACACATTTTCTGTGGCTGCTTTCACACCATGATGGTCAAGTTGAATAGTTTCTACCCAGAAAATCTGGAAATAATTCCCATCCAGCTTTTGGGATAAACCCTATGTCTGAGTTTATCTTTCTAAACATTTATGGAAGAAATAATGGCATAAACGTTATCATACTAATTTTTTAATTACAGAGTTTAGAGGAAATATTTTATCCCTCGATGATCTGTCCCCAGCTGTCAATGAGAACTCAGACTTGGAACAGGAGGTAAGTACAATTAAGTCATTTTTGACTGTAGAATGTTATGTAGAGAGGATTGTAACTTCAGCATTTCGTTTAGTCCAGTGGTTCTCAATTCTCCCCCCAGGGACATTAGCAATGTCTGGGGCCATCGTGGCTATCAGGATTGGGGGTTCCAGTGGCATCTCTAGCAGGTGAAGGCTAGGAATGCTGCTTAGTGTCCAGTAATGTACAAAGCAACCCCCAATGCAAAGAATATTCTGGCCCCAAATGTCAAAGTGCAGCAGGTAAGAGATCCTGATTTAGGTAATCACAGATTAAAGATCCTTAATGTAGCAGATGACTAAAGTACATTCCCCCTCCTAGAGCAACCACAGGAATATCTGCACTGAGGCAATGGTTTACCAACTGCTCCCATTTGAGCACAACATTTCTATTTTTGCCTTAATCACCTGCACTAGGAAATGTACATCTTAGTAATACGTGGTGCTAGGGCTTTAAATCTCACCCACGTGCCACGTAAACATGCTCCATGCCATTAGGGTCATGTGTACCACACTAAGAACCTCTGTGCTGAAGTGAATATTCCACTTGCCCAAACGCAAGGCCGAGTGTGAACCCTCAGAAGCTGGGACCACACAAGTCCCCTGCTTCTGGAAATGTGGTGGTTTTGGCATGTTGATCTTCTCAAAATAGTTTCCTGTCACCAATGCTGTCCTCCATTGTAGAAAGAAAGTGATCAGAGGGAAAACCTGTCCAGCAAAAGCTTAAGAGCCAAGGCATCTGCCAGGCAGAACACACCAAGACATGCTGAGGTGAGGAGCCTGGCATCTCAGGGAAAGCCTACCTCTGCAGATGGGGACAAAGGTCTCCCCACCGAAAGTGACATCTCAGAGCACTTCAGTGCTGGTTCAGCCTCCATTGCCTGGCAGGACAGCACTTCCAGCATGAACTTAGCGTTTGACGCATCCACAGTGAGCACAGTGAACTCAGCTTATTCTGAAGATTTTGAAAACTCTCCAAGTCTGACAACATCTGAGCCAACGGCCCATTCCAAGGACAGAACACTGGACTCTTTGTCTGAGTGCTCTTCAAGTCTGAAGACAGATCTTGTCCTAAAAACACCCAAGTCTCAGAAAAAGTGGGGCAGGAGTATGACAAGAGTCCTTGTGAAGGAAACAGCTGTGCAGACTCTGGATTCAGGCTTTGCCTACCAGTGGACCAAGGGTAAGTGTGGCAGCTGTGGAGGCCAGGGCAAGTGGGATAGGCACTCTGTGTGCAGCCCAGGCAACCTGGGAAACATATGGAAGGGGCTAAGTCCATGCAATCTGTCATTAATTAGCTGGGGGGGCTCAGCCCCCAGTTTCTTCTTCCATGGATAAGAGGCAGCAAGCTCTAAAGCATTCAGAAGTTTCAGAAGCAAAGACTACAGTCTTTGTAGACAGTATTTGGTGGTGAGTGGGGTGATGCTACCACTAGGGGCCCTTGTCAATGTCTAGAGATATTGTTGATTGTCAACACTAAGGGTTGGGATCAAAGTCTAGAGATACTAGAACACCCCACTAAGGGTTGGGGTGCTCTGGCATTTGCTGGGTAGAGGCCAGGGATGCTGTTATGTACCCTACAATGCCCAGGATACCCCTACCAACTATACCCATGATGACACCACTATCCTAGAGAATGATCCTGCTCCACTTAGGTGCCCAAATGGGGAAACCTTGGAGGAGAGAAAATAAGAGATGCCACATGTGAGTCTGGTGACTTGTCACATGGCACTGAAAGAGACACCAATGAGTGTGAACCCATGGAGGAAATGCCTTCTTGGACCACATTTCTTTTACCAGTTAATGGGTCTCCTGCACAGGGGCTCTGGAAGCTGCCTTGCTGCAGGTCAAGCTGGTTATCAGAATTGCAGTCACCCCAGGAGTCCAGGCTCAAGCCCACAGTCTCCCAAAGCTCACCTCTCCCACCAGGCAGGCCTTGCTTCAATTCCCCACCATGTGGAATCACAGGACACCCACCAATCCTGCTCTGTACTTTAGGACATGGTGAAGGGGCTACTTCTTCTCATGCCCCCATCTCACGTTCCAGATGTTTCTTTCATTCCCAGCTTCAGCCTTGGCTCTTCCCAGTGGAAAGGTTCCTTTTAAACATTTGTTTATTCCCTTTTTTCATCCAAATAGTTCTTGACAAGGTAGACTAATATTGTCTCTAGATGTGAAAAGGGATGTACTTCTCCTTGGATTTTTTTTTCTTTTTTCCTTTTTTTTTTTTGAGGCTTGTGTACAATGGTGTCATCATAGCTCACTGAAACCTTGAATATCTGGGCTGAAAAGATCTTCCTGCCTCATCCTGCCAAAGTGCTGGGATTACAGGCATTAGCCACTGTGCATGGCCTCTAGAAAAAAAAGAAAAATGTTCTAGACATAGTGGTGCCTGCTTGTAGTCCCAGCTACTGGGGAGCTGAGGTGAAAGGATTGCTTAGGAGTTTGTAGCTGCAGTGAGTTATGATTGTGCCACTGCACTCCAGCTGTGTGACACCACAAGACCATATCTCAAAAAATAAAGGCCAGAAGGGTGGTCATGTTCAGAAAAAAAACAGCCCACATGGTTTGTTTCAGCATCATATCCATGAACGAGAAAGTCATTGCTCTGTGTCCTGCCCACTCACACCCTCTCTTTGTCCTTGAGACAGCATCCAGTGTGGCAACTATTGGGCCTGCCATGGGAAGTGCCTATGTGGACCCGATACCCATTGCCAATCATGTCATCAGTGCAGATGCAATAGAAGGTAATAGCCCAACTTGGTGGGTCCTTCCTGTACCATTTTACAGAACACATTTGATCTGCAAATTTATGCCCACCTTTGGAGGTTTGGCACCTATAATGCTATGTTTGAGGAATGCACAGCCATAGACAACTGTCACAGTTTATAGGATCCCAGATGACAGCCTGAGAGTGTCTCTGAACCTTCTTGTCTCTTGCAAAGGGACACCAGTGTGAAAAACAGGAAGGTGAAGAATAGCACACCTGTAAGCCCTCTATTCCAGCAAGGCTACTCGTATATGTATGTTCCCCTGGGAGCCTTTTTGTCTCTAAGCTATCATCCCCTGCCACCAGACACTTATTTGATCAATATTGAGCAGTAGCCACAGGCTGCGTGAACGAACACAACCCTTGCCTCCTGGGCTGAGTCTGAAGGAGTCTGTGTGGAACTGAGAAGGGTCCCAGCCAAGCCTGGGCCATGAGGAAGGTACCTCAAAAGCTACCTTAGAGAGTTTAGACTTTGCCAAGTCCCCCTGGAGCCACTGCAGTGAAGGTTCATGTGATATAGGTTAAAGAGTCTATCTGGTACCTAGTATTTTTTTCCCTTTTTCAGTTTTGTTCATAGGATTCTTTTAAGTATAAAGATAGTAAAATATACCAGTTGTGGCCAGGCACAGTGGCTCACGCCTGTAATCCTAGCACTCAGGGAGGCCAAGGTGGGTGGATTGCCTGAGCTTAGGACTTCGAGACTAGCCTGAGCAAGAGCGAGATCCCATCTCTACCAAAAATAGAAAAAAATTAGCTGGGTGTGTAGTAGGCGCCCATAGCCCCAGTTACTCAGGACGCTGAGTCAAGAGGATCACTTGAGCCCTGGACTTTGAGGTTGCTGTGAGCCATGATAACACCAACAGCACTCTACCCATAGTGATAGATACAAATATTTCTCTTGTTACAACTAGCTTATTTTGTTTCATTTTATTTTATTTAATTATTTTATTTATTTGAGACAGGGTCTGACTCTTTCACCATGGGTTGAGTGGTAGTATTAGATTCTCACAGGAGCAGGAACCCCCTACATGTGAGGGATCTAAGTTGTTCGCTCCTTATGACCATCTAATGCCTGATGATCTGAGGTGGAGCTGAGGCAGTGATGCTGGTGCTGGGGAGTGGCTGCAAATACAGATTTTCATTAGCAGAGAGGTTTAACTGCACAGAGACCATAATAAATACAATTTATTTATTGATATGACTATGATCTGATATGACTACAGATTCATATCAAAATCATCCCATCCCCCAGGCTGTGGAAAAATTCTCTTTCATGAAACTTACCTCTAGGGTCAAAAAAGTTGGGGACTGGGAGGTGCCTGTGGCTCAGTGGTTAGGGTGCCAGCCCCATATACCAAGGTTCAAACCTGATCAAACTGCAACAAAAAAATAGCTGGGTGTTCTGGCAGGTGCCTGTAGTCCCAGCTACTCAGGAGGCTGAGGCAAAAGAATTGCCTAGGCCCAGGTGTTGGAGGTTGCTATGAGCTGTGACGCCATGGCATTCTACCCAGGGTGATAACGCGAGACTCTGTCTCAAAAAAAAAAAAAAAAAAAAGTTGGGGACTGCTGTTTATACCAATTTATTAGACTTAAAATTTTGTATTAGCCTATCATAGTCGTGCATATTTTGGAGGTGCCTGTGATAGTTTGGTATCTATATATAATTTGTAGTGACTAAGTCAAGGTAATTGAGATAGCTATCACCTCAGATGTTTTGTGTGTGTGTGTGTGTAACATTCCAATTCTTCTCTTCTACCTATTTATTTAGAGACAGGGTTTCTCTCTGTCACCCAGGCTAGAGTCCACATAGCTCATAGCAAACTCAAACTCCCGAGCACAAGCAGGCTGAGTAGTTGGGACTATAGGGGTACGCCACCACACCTGGATAACTTTTAAATTTTTTGTACAGATGGGATCTTGCTATTGCCCAGTCTGGTCTTCTAGCTATTTTGAAGAATTTACTAGACTTTTTAGTCTATAGGGTGGATAGGTTAAAACTTCTACTTTTGCCTGGGAGCTGAGCATGGGCACATGTGCAACTCTTTAAATTTTCATGCATTTCTCAGTAGAAAGCAATTCATTTACTAGAGAATTGAAACAGACAGGATTAGGTGAGGCCTTTACCATCCCAGAAGATAGCAGTCCTTTCAGAAAACAGCTTAACATTACCGATCTGTTGGGCATGGTGGGGTAGGGATGGAGGTGTGGAACTCGTGGGGCCCTAGTGGAGCCACTGAGTGACACAGAGTGGGAACAGCCCTGACAGCCTATAGTCCGGCCATGCTGGCACTGAATGATATGCTGAAGCAGCAGCTAAGCCTGACGCAGCAATTCATCGAGACCAGCCGTCACCTGCACATGTCACTCCTGCAGTCCTTGGATGGGGATTCATTCCACTATCACACTCTGGAGGAAGCCAAAGAGGTGACTGGAGTCGTGCCTTCCCCTGAGGAGGTAGAGTGGCCAGGGTGGGGGAAGCTCTGAGATGGTTAGCCAAGGAGGGAATGGTGATGGGATCCTTAAGCCCTCAGCTTGGTCCTACAGGGATGTTTCAAAGCTTTCTATCTTTGTCCTTGTAGAAGGAACCTCGTTTCCTCCTTGTGTTGTGATATAAGCTGGTTGCAGGTTGGGGTACTGAGCACTAGGCCTTGTAGCCAGCCCAGCCTGGCCTGTGTGTGACCTTAGACCAGAGGGGACCTACTCACTGAGGCACTATTTTCTCCTCTGAGAGCGGTCCTATCCCTTTCACAGACCCTCCTGAGTGCCACCTAAGGTGGGGCTGGAGGTAGCCTAGCCTTTCTCTCTGGCTTTGGCCCAAGAGATATCACCTTCACATTCCTATTTTTCCCTCCAAAAAAATTTTTTTTCCTGATTGCCAAAAAAGATGTACCTATTTCTTTCTTTCTTTTTGCAGTTTTTGGCCGGGGCTGGGTTTGAACCCGCCACCTCCGGCATATGGGGCCGGCGCCCTACTCCTTTAAACCACAGGCGCCGCCCAATGTATGTATTTTCTAAAAATGTTGTTATAGAGGTGTACATTTTACAGTTCTCCATAATTTCAGGGATAACATTACCAACTTGATACTTACTTTTTCAGATTTTGCCTATGCAAAGTATGAGCTATATATTTCTTCTTAGAAATGATGTGACACTATATGCAGTGTCTTTTATTATAGAGATTTAAAATTTTTTTACATACAGATATTTTAATTTGTATTTCTAAAAAATGAGTTAAAAAACATAAAACCAGGCCTGGTATGTTGGCTTATGCCTGTAGTCCCAGCTACTTGGGAGGCAGAGGCAGGAGATCACTAGTGTTGCAGAGTTTGAGGTTGCTATGAGCTATGATATCACTGCACTCTAGCCCAGGCAACAGAGACTAATCTTAAAAAACAAACAAATATACCCCAACAAGAAAATGAAACAAAATCATAATGTCATCATAATACCCAAACCAAATTTACTTAGGATTAAGGCCAGTATTCAGATTTCTGGTTGTTTCATTAAAGTTGTGTATTTTGTTCCCACTTTGTAATGAGGACCTAAAGTCCATACATCAAGACAGTTTGATGTGTCTCTTTAGCCCAGTGATTCTCAACCTTCCTAATGCTCTGACCCTTTAATACAGTTCCTCATATGGTTGGGGGTCCCCACAACATGAGGAACTATATTAAAAGGTTGTAGCATTAGGAAGGTTGAGAACCACTGCTTTAGCCTTTTAATCTATAGTAGTATCAGAAGCCCCTGAATGCCTGAGAAAGCAACTGCTGAGCCCTCCAACAGGTAGGGGGGCCTTCTAGTGGGTATTTCTCCCAAGGGCCCAGGGATGCTGCTGTCTGGGGATCAACTTTTTATAGATCACTTCCCCATCTTATTTCCTTATAATTCATTGTTTTATTTTTAATTTTGATTAATTAATTTATTTTTGAGACAGAGTCTCAAGCTATCGCCCTGGGTAGAGTGCCATGGCATCACAGCTCACAGCAACCTCAAACTCTTGGGCTTAAGCGATTCTCTTGCCTCAGCCTCCCAAGTAGCTGGAACTACAGGTGCCTGGCTATTTTTTGGTTATAGTTGCTGTTGTTGTTTGGCAGGCCCAGGCTGGATTTGAACCCACCAGCTCTGCTGTATGTGGCTGGTGCCCTAGCCTCTGAGCTACAGGCACCAAGCCTATTTTTAATTTTTAGAGAGAGTCTTGCTCTGCTGCCCAGATTAGAATGCAGTGGCATCATTATAGCTAACTGCAACCTTGAACTCCTGCATTCATGATCCTCCTGCCTCAGCCTCCTAAGTAACTGGGACTGTAAATATGCACACCCTGGTAATTTAAATTTTTTTGTAGAGTCATGGGGTCACACTATGTTGTACAAGCTGGTCTTGAACTCCTGGCCTCAAGTGTTCCTCCCAGCATGGCCTCCCAGAGTGCTGAGATCACAGATGTGAGGCACCATGGCTGGCCAAGTTTATTTGTTGAAGAAAGCAGGCTGGCTGTTAGGGCACCTGCAGGCATTCTTTCCTTTCTGACTCAGTAAGGGTTCATCCCTTGCTCCGGGCCCACCCAGAACCTGCCTGGGCATCCTTTTCCCTATATTTCCACAGCTCCTGGCCATCCTGTGTGCCAACTCTTGCCACATGACATCCCACTGCTTTACTTTTCTTTTTTTTTTTTTTGAGACAGAGCCTCAAGCTGTCCCCTGGGCAGAGTGCCGTGGCATTACAGCTCACAGCAACCTCCAACTCCTGGGCTCCAGCAAGTCTCCTGCCTCTGCCTCCCAAGTAGCTGGGACCACAGGCACCCGCCACAACGCCCGGCTATTTTTTGGTTGCAGCCGTCATTGTTGTTTGGCGGGTCCAGGCTGGGGATTCGAACCCGCCACCTTAGGTGTACGTGGCTGGCGCCTTAGCCGGTTGAGCTATAGGCGCTGAGCCTGCTTTACTTTTCTGTTAGCCAAGCAGGCACCTGTCAAGGACATGTGCCATGTCTGTTTTCTTCCCAAGTGTCCAGAAGCCACTCAGTACGTATTGAGGTGGTGGTGGTGATGGTGTCTCTGTCCTCTGCCCGTACAGTATATTAGGCGCCACAGGCCTAGTCCACTGACCATGGAGGATGCCTTGAAGGAGGTGAAGGAGGAGCTATGAGTGCCAGCAGGTGAGCTTGAAGTAGGTCTGACCTAATTGACTGTCTAGTATGCTTGCTTAGCACACACCCGCATGCTTGCACACACAGGGCTGTATGCAGGTGACGTTCCCTGGTGGGGACAGATGGAGCTGCGGTAAGGATGCAGGATTATCCTGAGCCAAATCCCAGCTCAGTAAGGGAACTTGTTCAGCCACTATCTCCTTGGCCTGTTATCAAGAGGAGCCAGCATGCCTGCCACCAATGACAGCACAGGCCAGTGGAACAGGAGTCATGTGGGGAGCTGCCCACCACTTGCAGTAGGATAAGGACCACCAGCCTCTGCAGAGCAGCTCCACCCAGCCAGGTATTGGCATGTGAACTTGACAGAGACAGGGAAGCTAACAGAAGCCCTGTCTGGTAAGGACATAGGACCAATGTAGGTGACCAGGGCAGAGCTTCTGATTCCAGCTGGGATCCACAGCTCCAACCAAGTCTGCACCCAGAATACACCGCCTCCTCCCTTAGCCTGAGGATACGTTTGATTTACACACAGAGAAAAAGGTCTTTAAAAAAAGTCTTTATTTGAAAGCAAAACAGTAAAATCCACAAGAAATTGTTAACAGCACATGTTTACATTTTATCCTGGATCAGACAGGTTTGAACAATTCACAGCTACAGAAAATCTAGAACAAAATCAAATATTTTATTACATTGGGTTGAAAAGATGGAAGGGATTTTGCATCTTAATGAAAAGAATTTTTCCAAAAATGTTTCTGTACAAACAAACGGCACCACACTGAGCTGCCCATGGCCACAAATTGTGGCCAATCCTGGCATGGTTACCTTCAGCTTCTGGCAGAGGCAGCTCCCCTCTGGGCTTCACCTCCCTTAGGGGGTGGGGTGGGGGTGTGCAAATGAAATGACAGAGCAGGAGGCCCTAGCCAGGGGGTTGAACTCCATGCTCTAGATCGGAACGGGCTGTTGCACAATGTGCTGGTGTTGGGGAGCTTCTAAGCGAGAAACACAAGTAGAGACACTAAGTGCACAGACTCCAAGGCTTGCGCTCCTTGACCTGAAGATACTTCAGATTGGTTTATTAGAACCTTCTTTCTCCAAATAGCAAATAGCTAACATTCCAGAAAAAAATACCAACTTATACAACTAAAGTAACTGAATTAAGGGCCAGTGTATCTTAGAAGAATCAGATTTCAAGTGATCTCACTGGGGATCGTCTCAGGTCAATATTCTCTTTTTTAAAACTAAACCAATAGGGGTAAAAATGAAAACCCTGCTTAACATTGCAAGTCAAAAAGATTTTGTTTTTCTGTTTTCCAATCATAAGCATTCATGGCACCTGGCCATGGCTTCAGCACTACACAGCCAAAGAGGGCAGGCGAGTTGGAACCTGCTGGCTCTGGGCCCCTCTTCCACATGCTCCTACTGGAGCCTATGAGGAGGCTCAGAATCTGATTTAAGGAAGACGCACACATCCATTCCTTCAGGTGTGAAGAATTCTTACTCAGGGGATGGAGGGTCTTGTGTTTCTTGCTTCACTGTAAAGGAAAATAAGCCCACAGCCTTGGTGGCTGTGGTACCTCCTGGTGTAGTTCATAGGTAGAGCCAGTAGCCTTTCCATACCATGAGCATGGTGCTCCTGGCAAGGTGTGCGTTAGTCTTCCTTCTTTTCCTGTAGTTCCCCAAACATGGAGGCTGTGTGAGAACTGAGCTGTCACTATGATCTTCCACTGCCAGTGAACCAGGAAGGTCCCAACAGCCAATGCTGCTGCTCCTGGTTTGCCGGCCCTACTTACACTCATCCCTGGCCTTCATACGAGCGATGAAAGAGTAGCTCTTGTTCCGGCGGTAGTTCTCGTAGGGGTCGTCCAGGGCCACACCCACACCCTTGTACTGGTCCCACTTATCCCGGACGTCCCCCCCCTTGATGGGGTCCTGGATACCTTGCTCTTTCACACCGAGGCCACCAGAGCCACTCCAGCCTTAAGAAAGAGGGACGCAGGGTTACAAAGCACAAAAGAGGCTCAGGCTGTGACAAATTTCCTGACATGAAGTTAAATGGGAATGCACTTGGGGAACTGAATAACATGCAAAACCCTGCAGTTTATAAGAATGAAATTGATTGCAGTAAGAAAGAACACCCAGCAAGAACTCTGCAAGTCACAACTTTCTCTGATTCCATCAATCCCTGTATGTATAGGGAAGAAAGCGCTGCCTGCTCCTACACCCCACAGTGTGTTAGGACTGTCTTCCAAGGAGCCTTACCCATCTTCACCAGCATCTGATGGCCTTTGTTCTCTTCTCCAAGCCTTGAGTCAGGTATAGGAGGTGCTGAATTAGAACCCAGACCAGCCGAGGAACTAAAATTGAGACAGGTTACGTTTTCGTAAGAAATAATTGGTACATTTATTGGAATAACAATTATTAGGTTCTTACAGTGTGTAGCTCATTCACCATTGTTGGGACACACACACACACACATTTTTTGTCTTAATGTTGTTCTTAATCCTCTTCGTCAGCCAGATGAGGGGTCCCTCAAATACCTCCTGCCCCACATTCAGCAACAAGGGCAGGTCACATCAAGACCCAAGGTAGTTAGAAAGCACAGAGCCCAACTACCACCTCAGGCTTCACAAGGTGACTGCAGTGGTATGGGACAAGAGGGTGCCACCATCCCTGGGCTAATGCTCTTGGGTCTCTGAGGGACAGCCTCAGCACAGGCCACCACATGCACATCTTCTAACAACAAATGTTTACACATTCACAGCAAAGCACCAAAGGGTTCCAGCACCTCCAGTGGTTCAGTTAAGACAGAAATCTTACGGTGGGATGGGACTCCTAGACCGCGACCGACGTCGTCTTCCTGGGGAGTATGACTTAGACCTGGACCTGGACCGAGAGTGGGAGCGGCTCCTCCAGGAGCGAGATCTGCTACGGCTCCTGTGAGGGAAGAGTATGAGGGTCAGTGGCAGGGGAGCCATGGTAAGAGGCCTCAGATGTCACCATCCCAACGTGGTGCTCTGCCTACCTGGATCTGGAACGGGAGTATGAGCGGGAGCAGGACCGTGACCTTGACCTCGAGTATGAGCCTGATGACTTTGAGGATCTTGAGTTGGAGCGGGAGGAAGACCGCCCTCGGCTCTTGGATCTGCTCCGAGATCTTGAAGGTCCACTGCAAGGAGAAGCCCATTAAGTGGGAGAGCAGCCCCCATGGCCCCTGCAGGCCATGCCCAGCCTGCCCCAAATCCCAGGTTCCTGTAAGACCCTAGGTGTAGGGGCCTGTGTGTGGACACGCCAATAATGTTCCTAAATGGTGTAGCTGAACACAAGCAGTGACAACTTTCTCTCACTGCAGAACTAACTCATGCCCTGTGGGAAAGGGCACCCAAGGGCTTGGCCTGCAGTGGCCTGTATTATCCTAACACCAGACCAGGCAGAGGAAAGGTGCAATATGACAGCTGTGACAGGGTCCCCCCTAAGGCCAGCCAGCACAAACCACAGTAAAGAAGGCCTGCCAGTGGCCACCTGTGTACATAGGTGGCAAGGAAGGGCAAACAAAGCAGATTCACCTGTTCCTCTTTTCCTGGCCTTTCCTCCGCCGGGCCCGCATTTTTGCTCGGAAGAACTCATAGAGGCCATTCTGCTCCCAGCCTTCACTGTAAAACATGACATTTCCTGTGTGACTGTGCCAAGCCCTCCTGCAGGGAACTTGGGAAAAAGGCACTAGGAATCATACCCACCCCAGAGAACCTTGGGGCCCACAGCCCAGCAGCCATGAGCCAAGGCCAGCCCTCCACTCCTTTAATCACTCAGGACACACTCAGGCTGGCCACCTCCCATGGGCACAGCTCAGTGAGCTGAGGTAGTGAACATTGTGGGGACAGTCTACTAAAGAGGAAGCTGTGAGTGTAGTGTGTGCCAACAGGTCTCATCTGCCCTGAATTCTGGCTCTTAACAGTCTCAATTAAAGAAGCCTGCCCTCGAGGGCCACCATGTGTGTGCTGTGCCTATGTAACACACACACTTAAGATGGCATTTTTCTCCTTAGGGATGATCCTATTTTTTTCCACTAGGCAGAAGCTATGGCTATTAGGAATCTTTCAAAGGAAACAAATCTAGGGGGAAGATAAGCCAGGAGCAAGGATAAGGCCTTCTCTCCCATCCTCCAGATCTACCTCCCCTGGCCTCACCTGTTTCTGGGCCTGTCATGGGATGGGGGGCTGTAGAAGGCCTCCACAGCAGCCAGAAGCCTCTCACTAGGTGGCATGGGGGGCGGGAGGCGGATATCCTTAGGGTCCAAAGGCTTGTACTCGTGGTCTTCCAGCTACAGTGGAGAAGAGAGCTGTCACGGTGACCTGGCAGAGTCCCTCAGGGCCACACACAGCATGGTGGGGAAGGGACAGGACCCAGGTTTGGTGTTAGGGTTGTCCTGGGGACCATAGTTCCTTATCTTTCCCTTTTTGGGAAATCTCACTCCTCAGAGGGCCTTGGCCACACCAACAATTCCTAGACAGGGTGATTCACATTTCTTTTGAGGCTGATAAAAGCCACAAGGCTCTCTCCATAAAAATCACACAGACAACACTGCCTCTAAGCTCCACTTCCCAGTGTATAGGCCATTGCCCTTTGAGCCTGATGCCTACCCTATGTCCTCATTATCTGTTTCTGCCAGGCTCTCCCTCAGTGTAGCCTTACCCCGATCCTGGAGCCAGCTCAACTGCTGCCTCCTTCCTCTTCATCTCTTTGCCCAGATAGGCCCTGCCCTGGATTGCCTGGGTCCCCTACCCTGCAGCTCCATGCTGCAACCTAGTGTGACCCTCTTTGGCTTCCTGGCAGGTAGGGCTGAGAGGAGACAGGAGGTGGCAGTGGCTAGCACAGCCCTAGAAGCCCCTGAGCCCCAGCCCTGGCCCTCTTCTCACCCCATCTCCTCTCATTCCATGTTCTAGCCATCCTGAGGCCATCCCACACTGCTCCCAGCTCTGCCTAGCTCCTATGGTGCTGCCCCTCCCTGTGCTCTCACAAGGGGCATTTTTCTGAGAAATCCACATTAGCAATCCCCGGACAAGGTGGTTTCTGAGGGCTGGGACCAAGAAGGACAAATGGAGGACCAGTACCTCATGCATAGCCCAGAAGGCTCTGTGTAGCGGGAAGAAGGGGAAGAGGGCAGAGGAGACACAGGCTTGTCAGGGCCACCTCACAGCAGCACCAGCAATGTTAGCTTGGACTCAATCGAGTTCATTGTCAAGAGGGAAATGAGAAGGAAGGAGCACTCGGAGGCAGGGTGCACACAGAATAACAGGTGCGGGCATAGGTAGTCCCACTTGGAACCCACCACAGCAACGTTACCTTCACAAGGGGGGCCATCAGCCCAGCAGGGAGGTCGAAGTAGGGCACATTGGGGACCAGACTGGGGTCATCATGGTTGATGTGGGGTGGGCCCTGTCGTCGCATGTGGGGGGGCTGCCCGTTGAAGCCGTGGGGGGGAGGGCCAAAGTCGGGGTGTTGGGGCCCAGCCCAGGGTGGGTGCTCGTTGATCCCGGGATGAGGCATGCGGTGGCCAGGGTGGTGGTGAGGGGGGCCCAGCTCTGTAAGACAGAAACTTGTCTTAGGACACTGTGAGCGAGGCTCTCCAAGGTGCTAACTGCCCATGGGAAGGGGCTCAGTGAAGGGCAATGAGGCCAATAGCCTACTCTGGGGCAGGTATCTTGGCACCTTTTCTCGCTGTATGATACCAAGCAAAGGCAGAGAGGAGCCTATCCTGTACCCACAGGGGGAGTCACAAAACTGAAATAGCAGCGCTATAGGCTGAACTGCATCTCCCCACATTCATGTGTTGTCGCTATAACACCCAAGACTGTATCTGGAGATAGGGCCTTTAAGAGGTGAATGAGTTAAAAAAAAGAAAAAAGCCCTAATCCACCATGACTAAAGTTCTCATAAGAGAAGGCTATTAGGACAAAGACATCTATGGGGAAGACATGGGGAAGGATGCCTTCTACAAGCCAATGAGACAGAAGAAACCAACCCTGCTGACACCTTGACCTCAGACTTCCAGCCTCCAGGTCCTTGAGACAATAAATTTCCAACAGTCTCTGGTACTTTGTCAAGGCAGCCCAAGCAAACTAATGAAAGCAATCAACAAGCTCAGTGATCTCAGAGCTGAATTTACAGTTAAGAATGGACTAAATAAAAATAAAGGCAGAAGCATAAATGGAAATTAAAAAAATGAACAAAGCTAAAGTTGATTCCTTAAACTAATAAAACAAGAAAACTAAATCAAACAGCAAGCAGTAACAAGAAACAGGAAACAAGCAAGCCTTCTTCTACTCTCACTGAGTCCATCCAGGGTGGGAATATAGGAGTTACTTTTGCTTCTGGAACCTCTGTAAGGATTGGCAGACCCCTATGGCTGGCATAGGTGGAAGAAAAGGTGGGACTCACACCTCCACAGTCAGCCTGGCCAAACCAGTGTAGCAAGGAAAAGAAATCAGACATCCTTGGCTGCCATGGAGGTCACTCCTCTTCTAGCTTTCTGAGGGCCTGTGCTGGGCTCCTTCGAAGTCCCATGACCCACATGCCATGACTGCAAACACCGCCACCAGCCCACAAAGCCAGCTGAGCAGTGGATGCCTCCTGTGGGCCCTCCCAAGGGTACCCTTGAACTCACCTGCAGGGAAGTCACCCTGAGGGTAATCAAAACGGTGAGGGTAGGGTGGCCGCTCGAAGGGGTGCCGAGGGGGGAAGTCATCCTGCATGAAGCGAGGTGGGAAGCGGTTGAAGTTGTGGGGGTGTGGCGGCTGGTTGAACTGTGGGTGCTGCTGGTGGGGTGGGAATGGCCCACGGAAGTGTGGTGGCCGCTGCATGCGGAAGGGTGGTTCGCGTTGGCCCCCACCCCAGGGTGGCTGCTCATGCTGGCTATTCCAGGGGCCCTCAAACTGGCTGTTCCAGGCAGGGTCAGGTTGGCTGTTCCAGGGCGCATCACGCTGGCCATTCCAGCCAGGGTCTCCACGCTGCTCACCCCACATGCCCTCGTGGCTGTTGTTCCAGGGTGGGCAGTGGGGTGGCCCGCCTTGGTGGTGTGGGTAGGGAGGCTGCTCCGGTGGCTGCAAGGCAAGGCACAGATGTGAGCCCCTCTTGAACTAGTCCCTTGCACCAGGCACTGGGAGCACTGCCCTGGGCTCATTTTACTCTGATGTCTGCATCAGATGTGGGCTATGGCACCTGCCATGTGGTTAGAAAGTAACCAGACTCGTGTGGCAACCTGTGGCTCAGTGAGTAGGGCACCAGCCCCATATACCAAGGGTAGTGGTCCTGAACCCGGCCCTGGCCAAACTGCAAAAAAATAGCTAGGCATTGTGGTGAGTACCTGTAGTCCGTTAATCGGGAGGCTAAGCCAAAGAACTGGAGGCTGCTATGAGCTGTGACACCATAAGCATTCTACCAAGGGCGACAAAGTGAGACTCTGTCTCTTAAAAAAAAAAAAAAAAAAAGAGAAAGTAACCAGACTCTCAACTGCAGCACATTTCTGTCCTAGGAGGCCTCCTGCCTGCTGTGCAGGCCCAAACACAGCCCTCCCCACCACTACCCCAAGGGTGGGATGGCACAGAGGTGAGTCCAGTGCCATTTCTCAGGGTGCCCCAGCATGGCTGGGCCCCAGGTGCCCAAAAGGAACTCACTCTTTTTTTTTTTAAGACAGAGTCTCATTATGTCACCTTCAGTAGAGTGCTGTGGCATCACAGTTCACAGCAAACACAAACTCTTGGGCTTAAGTGATTCTCTTGCCTTAGCCTCCCAAGTAGCTGGGACTACAGGTACCTACCACAACACCCAGCTATTTTTTTGTTGCAGTTGTC